GCATGCAACAGAAAAGGAGGGAGGTGGCCCGCCTGATTGGAGGAGTATTTATGATTTCCAAGATTGTATTATGAACTGCACTCTGGAAGACTTGGGTCATCAGGGGCCTACTTTCACTTGGCATAGAGGCAGATTGAAGGAACGTCTTGATAGAGTTTGTGCGAATGAGCAGTGGCAATTGTCCTTTCCTGACAGGGTTGTGACTCATCTTCCCTGCTACTGCTCGGATCGATAGACCTCTTCTTCTCTGGGAGGGTCCTTCTCCTCACCATCCTGGAGGGAGCCGTCCATTTAGATTTCTGGCAGCCTGGCTCACTCATGAGGATTTCCCTGGCCTAGTGCAGGAGTGTTGGAATGGGAGTACAGGTTGGGGCACAGCTAGTGAAACTTTTCGATCGAATGCTTCTCACTGGCATAGGGAGTGCTTTAGGGAAGATGCCAAGCTTAAGAATAATCTTCAGGCGAGACTAAGGGGTAAGGTTGGATGATGATTAAGGTGGATAGCCTTTGTAATGTTATTTATAAGACTATTACTAAGCTTATTGCTATGACAGATGGATAAAATTGTTATGAATGTAGTTTCATCAAAGGAAGGCAAGGGACAGATAATGTAATTATTGCTCAGGAAATTATTTCTATGAGGTCAAAGAAAGACGCCAAAGGTTGGATGATGATTAAGGTGGATAGCTTATGACAGAATTAGCTGGGAGGATACTCTTGTGGGACTCCCCCCAAATCTCATTAATCTTGTTATGTGGTGTGAGTTTTTCCCATCCAGGGGGCTTAGATAGGGTGACCCTTTGTCCCCATATTTATTTATTCTTTGTATGGAGCGACTTGGTCATCTCATTTCCCATGCAGTTAGGCAAAAGTGCTGGAAGCCGATCATGTTGAGGAGAAATGCTCCTCCCATTTCTCACCTCTTTTTTGCGGATGATCTTATTCTTTGTGCGGATGCATCCTTTGATCAGGCCCAAACCATTTCCAAGGTGCTAGATGATTTTTGTCTTTCTTCTAGGCAAAGGGTTAACCATGAAAAAACAAAAATTCTCTTCTCCCACAATGTGAATCATATTTTGGCAGAGGAACTTAGTGGTGAGTTGGGCTTCTCAAGGACGGTGGATCTTGGAAAGTATTTGGGTATTCCTCTTCATCATCGCAGAGTTGGGAGGGCGGCTTTCAGTCATATCCTCGATCGAGTTCAATCTAGGATTAATGCCTGGAACCACACCAGTCTTTCTCTAGCAGGAAGAATTACACTTTCGAAAGCTGTTCTCTCAGCTATTCCAGCCTACACAATGCAAGTTTCTGTTGTTCCTCTCGGAATCTGCAATGATATTGAGAAACATATTAGGAGGTTTTTGTGGGGTTCTAATAGAGCATCTACTCGTCCTCATCTGGTTGCGTGGGATCAGTTGTGCATGGATAAAGATCATGGAGGGCTGGGTCTGAGGAAAATGAAGGAAGTTAACAGGGCTTTTATTATGAAAATTGGTTATGGGATCCTTTCTAATCCAGATGCGCTTTGGGCTAGAGTTTTAAAGACCAAGTATAAAGTTCAGTCTGATTTGGTTCCTAATATTTCTGCTACTCGGAATAGCTCCTCTCTTTGGAAAGCAATTGTTTCGTCTTGGCCTGTGATATTACAGCATTCCAGAATTTTGCTAGGTAATGGAAATTCTACTCATTTTTGGGATGACCCGTGGGTTCCGGGTTGTGGTGCACTCTCATCCTATGCTGCTATTTCTGATCCCTCTCAGATAAATCATCAGCTAATGGTCTCTGATCTTGTCTCATCCTCCGGAAGTTGGATGTGGGGGGCTTTCCAGCATAGTCTTCCCGATCACGTCAATGCTCGTATTAATAACATCCTTCCTCCTTCGGATGTTAATGGTCATGACCGAATTTTGTGGACAAGGACATCTGATGGGAGTTTTTCGCTGAAGTCCGCTTATATGGCCATATCCAGGGGTAACGAGGAATCTACCAATTTACCTTGGAATCGCGTTTGGCAGTGGCATGGACCTGAACGGATTCGTACGTTCCTTTGGCTGTTGTTAGGAGATAAAATTTTGACAAATGAAAGGCGTTGCAGACGGCACATGGCGGGTTCAGATATATGTCATCTGTGCAATTGTTTTACGGAAACTTCCTTACATGCGGTTAGAGATTGTATTGCAGCAAAAAAAGTGTGGGAGATTGCAGTTAAGCGAGAGGCTTGGGAGGATTTTTTCTCTCTTAATCTTCAGCAATGGGTGTTGTCCAATATCTCTGAGGATCGTAATTGGTCCAATTTGCCATCATGGCCTCTTCTGTTTGGTATCATTTCCTGTTTCATTTGGCAAGCTAGGAATAAGAAAATTTTTCAGGGATCTTCTGTTCCTGCTTATGGCACTTTTAGAGCTGCTATGGTCTATGGTGAAGATTTTTCTTGGTCAGAAAACACGCTTCGGGTTGCTGGTCTTGAGACTAACTCGAATAAAGAGAAATTAGTTTCTTGGGTTTTTCCTTCGGACCCTTGGGTTAAGCTCAATGTGGATGGGTCAAGTATGAATAATGGAGAAGCTTCTGCTTGTGGGGGTGTATTTAGGAATGCTAGTGGAAGGTGGCTTGTTGGCTTTTGTGAAAATCTTGGCTGTGGTAATGTTTTGTTAGCAGAACTTTGGGGTTGTCTCCTTGGGCTTGAGATTGCATGGAGGAAAGGTTTCCGTTTTGTCTGGCTTGAAGGTGATTCCTTAGTAGCCCAGTTTTTCATAAGAGAAGGGTGCAGCTCTCATCATCCAGCCTCTAACTTGGTCTTGCGCATAAGGAATATGCTGGATTGGAATTGGAGGGTTAGAATTTCCCATATTCATAGGGAAGGGAATGGGGTTGCTGATTGGATGGCCTCTTTTGCCTACTCCTTTGATTGGTCTTTACAAGAGTTTGACTCGCCTCCTTCTGGTTGTCGTGACAAACTTGAAAGGGACTATGTAGGAGTAGTTTGGTCTAGGAGGTGTTCCTAGTTTCTTTTTTTGTTTTTATGTTTCCTGTTTGCTTTTCAAAAAAAAAAAAAAAGATTGATATACACCCTTATCTCAGATTTAGTTAGATCAACGCCTGTCTGCTGAAGTATAAGTTTTGATTTAGTCAGTTAACCTGTATAATAGATGTTGCTTTCACTGTTATGCTGATTGTTGAGTCTATAGGGTTACCAATCTGAATATTTGTTGAAGATTTAATCGATTAAGTTGATTAAATCTTCAAATCAACGATTTTTGTCAGTTTTCACAATTTAATCGATTAAATCTTCAATTTAATCGATTAAAGAGGGACAGATTAGTAGATAATTTTCAATAAAGGACAAAATTGTTATTAATTAATTAATGAAAGGCAAAAGGGTCAAAAAACCCAGCTGTAATCCTGAAAGTTAAAATCTCTTCTTTAATAGCATTGTACTACTCCATTGCGAATCCAAACGAATCGTTCATTTTTCACATAAAATGTAAGGTTGGAAAAATGCAGAATATACTTCAAATATTTGATCTAGAAAGCACCGACATGACTCTTTTTAAAAAATTTAGGTGTCGGACATCGACATGCTCTGACACATGTTCAACATATGATCAACATTTTGAGATACACAATTAACGCTCTAACATGTTCCGACACGTATTTTCGACATGCGATCAATGCTCCGATATGCATCCGACATGTTTCTTTTTTTAGGTTTAAATTTTATTTTATTAACTTAAAATGAAAAATTAATTTATAAGTCAATTTTTTTCTATTATAAAATTTGACATAAAAAATTAACAATGTATGAAAAATTACTTTTTTTTCATATTTATGTTATAAAATTTGAATATTTGATTGATTATATGACTTATTATGAACTGTTATATATATTAAATATAAATTATATTATATATTAAAAATATTATTTAATATCAAAACATGTCTTAATATATCAAAATATGATATTTTTTAAAATTAACGTGTCAACATATCGTGTCATATCTCGTGTTCTGTATCGATGCAACATAGTATTTGATACCACCCTCATCATTAACTAAATTCCAGGTTCTTTACACCATCATCTCAATCTGTATAATTTTTTTGAATTGATATTAAAATACAAGCCTGTCTAAATCACCCGTAAAAAAAAAACAAAAACAAAAAACTCATCCACAATCTTACAGTCTCAGTTCACCAACATCTACAATAAGAATTTGATTTCTAATAAACCATAATAAGCAAGCAATTAGCTCTCCACTTAATTCATTATATCATAGTCATCCAACTTGTCATTGTACTGAAGCACCTTTCTCTTTATCTTGGATGAATCTACCCACGTAACGAAATCCTCCATGTTCCTGGTTACAAGGAAAGCTGGGTCTGTAACTGCCTCTAGACCAACTCGTATGTGCCCCTGCTCAATGTACGTGACAGCTTCTTTCAAGTGCTCAGCAAATTTTAGTCGCACCAAAACTGTTGAGAGCCTACGCCTGCACAATAGAGGGAAAACAAATTATATTGACAGTTGACAATGATATTTTCATTTTTCATCAAAAAAAACGTGACAGTCACATTAGAAGGAAGTTAATTATAATAAACTATGAATTTTATAAGAGTTATGTTGTAGGAAAAGTGATTGTATCATGTTACTGAGATTCGTTTTATGTGCCTTAGTCTTTTTTTTGCTTCAAAATATGCAGGCCCCACAAAATGTTGTGTGCGTAGGAAACTTTACCATGTCATGCTAAAGGACAAACGAAAACCCCATAAACTAATGCTGCAAATGAAAGAATGGAAAATCTGCTGAACATTTGCAATATTCAGTTCTCTATTTATTCACTTAGTTGACACCCACGGGAGAATGTAAGAGAACATATTTATGAAGCTGTTAAGAAGACACACCAAATTAGGGCTGCAACTTCATTTTGCATTAGGTGATGAATTTGGATGAGTGAGCGAAACAGGAAAATATTTTAAGGGAGAAACAGTTAACAATGCTGCCATGTATCCCATGAAACAGCATTTAGCAACATATATTCTTTCCCTTTTGTTTTTTATAACTTTCTGGAAGCATAGAGCTTCAAATTGTGTTTAGAGCTCAGCTTAATGAAGAGAGAGTGTATACAAGAAGGAACAACCGGGGGGAGTTAGATGGTTAGGGTAGTTAGGAGGATTGTAAATGAGCTGACAAGTGGTTAGGCAGTTCAGTAAAGTGGTAGTTAAACGATACAATGTACAGAGAATAGGGAGAGGAAGAATTCTATCAGGGGAACCAAGTCTTGGAACTTAGTTGTGGAGGGGAAACCCTTATGAAGGAGCACTCACCTTATTCGACCATTTCTCAATAATAGATACATAGTTCTCTATTTTTATTCTCTAATTTCCTGTCTCTTTGATAAGTTTTCCTGTTATATTCTCTAACTGCTTGTTGTTTTCTCTCCCGATAACACTAACAGATTGTAACAGTCATGAAGGAATTAAATGACTTATTGTTTTCTCCGAGTTCTTGAGTCGAATTGTCTTAAGAGTTAAATATCATTTTTATTCATCTTTCTCGCTATATTTTCATCTGAACATTCTGATGTGCAAACAAATGAAGTTAATAACTAACTTTTCATTTAAAGCAATAAATGCAGCAAAATGTTCTTTTTACCTACAGAAGGATGACACAGTTAAGCGTTCACATAGAGTGATGCTTTGCCTGGTTGGAATCACACCCATGTTGTAACTGTTATCCAAAAAAAAAAAAAAAAGTAGATATACGTAAGTAAATAATAGCTCATAACAATTATTTTTCTCTATGGTCATCAAGAGAAAATCAAAAGAACCAAACGGCCACATTGCAATTAGTTCACCTATTTTTATCATATTTCATTTGATCATACATATTTACTATTTATAGCATAAAGAGTTAACAGAAACCATCAGCAATTTATATATAATTTGCAACTTGATTTGTTAATGAATTTAGGTAACCCAAATTCATACCACCTACATCAATCCCCTTCAAATAAAAATAGCTGAAGCACAAATAGATTTGAGGAGTCTTAGAACACAACATTGAAATATATATTGTTTCAAAGGGCCAATAGAAAAAAATAATTATGAAATATAACAGCTAATATAATTATGAAATAGGATACTTATTCCTCAAGTCATATTAAAACTAAATGAGCTCAATCATATGTTCAGAAGCTCACACAGTATGAGATTGAGTTAAAGTGAACTTACAGTTTTTCCAAAAGCTTATCAGTCATATCAATTCGAAAAGGATCCTTTGGGTCCATCTGTTTCACTATGTTTACTAACTTCTGAACCATCCGGCATAAACCTGAATATCTATTCATATTTCCACCATCCCGGTGCACAAAAAGTAAAATGTCAGCTAAAAGCCAAACTAAAATAAAGGAAATCAACTGACATCAGAATATAAATATCATGAATTATGCATAATACTTTTTGTAATCATCACGTCCAGTAAGATGGTAACGCTGCATAATCTGGTTCTCTCTGTGACCCCCTTCTCTCTTCCATTCCAAAAAATTAACCTTCTTCAAAAGCTTTTTCTCATGAAACTTTAGCTTCCTCATTGTTTTTCACTGTCATCACAATTTGTTCTTATTAGACATGCAACCAAATCGTCACAACTAAATAGCCAATTTATTTAAGGTATAACTATTCAGTTTATTTATCTGCTAGTTAAAGCATATCTAAGCTTTAGTAAACACCACTACTTTGCCGAATTCAACAGCACCACAAATTGCTCTGTCAGGTTCAAAAATAAAAGCTGGGTATAAGGTCGAACCCACTGTATTTTATACATGACCAAAAGGTAATTGGTTCGAATCCAGGAAACGGCCTCTTTGCAATTATGCAAGGATAAGGCTATGTACAAGGATTACCTTCACCCCACACTCGTTAGTCGGGTTTACCGGAGAGTGGTTTAATATATATATATATATATATATATATATTATATTATATTTTAAATTTCTAAAATAGCCCACCTAATTTGTCATTGTATATAATGTGCATTACAACTCAAAGAACATTCAAATAGGAACCCCCCTATAAAACAAGCATCTAGAATTCTTTTAAGCACATAAAAGAAGCTACATAACTTCAACAACACAAAACATTCACATTTTCTTTGAGCTGTGTACCTGAAGTGATGTCAACAGAAAAAATTGGTAAAGTATACATAATATTTCCATTCACTGTTGGAAAACTAATGCAAATTAAGAATACACAGGTCAGAAGCAGAGGAGAAGCAAACATACACGTTGCAGACAGATTAATCTGCCAAAGCTTAATTTCTGATGCTGTGATGATAATTACTGAAAAGCGTGTTTCTGATTTTGTTGAAGTTGAGAGAAAACGTGTGAAATTGTTAAAGAAAGTGTCTCTTTTCCTAAGAAACACAATCATCAGAAAATAAGAATTAAACATGCGAAATTATCTAACTGCCGATGTTCTTTAATAAAATAAGCATGACAAAGCAAAATTATCAGAAAATTTTCATACAGCAAATACTATCCGTGATTCTACATTTATATACATCTTAATCCTTATCTTCTCTGCCTTCAGCTTTCTTAAAGGTTATTTAACACTCATTATTGAGTAAACAGTCTGTCACTGCAAAAGGAGGTGAAGAAAGAGAGGCCGAAAAGCAATAGTTGATCAGTAACATGCTTTGACACACTCTTTGTAATACATTTTTATTATTAAGTAAATTTTATATAGGCCTCATTAAATAAAAAATGATTTCATTTTACCCAACAATACAAAGTGTATTGGGAATAGTGTGAAAAAAATATATTGTTAGATATTCTCGTATTTGCATAAATATGATTATCACTTCCAGTCGAACTTACTACAAAGACGATTGAACGCATTTCCTGCTAATTAATCATAACAAAAGAATCTATATGGTGAACATACCTTCCAAGGTTACTGGTTTTGAAACTTAATGTGAACCAAGCAGCAACATTTTCTTCGTTTTTCAGAAAAAAAAAAATGAAAAGGAAAAAAAAACATGGATTTATGGTACCTGCAGAGTGAGATGGGGAAGAATGGTTGGCGGCAGCACAGGTAATGTACGGTGGCGTTGCGGCTACTGTGCTCTGTGCGTGAAGCAGGGAAGAGGAGAGAAATTGGAAGTGAATTAGAAAACAAACCCTAATCTGAACAGTGACGGAACCAAACTCTTTTTTATCCAAGAAGATAGCTTATATGAGAATATAAAAAATGGAAAATGGCTCATGTTACTAAAAATTGATAAATTGATAAATTGATAATTATCTTGTTTTCTCACATTGGAGAGATTATATTTATTATTATTTTTTTACTATTTTTTATTATCAAAATTTAATTGTTGATTTTTATCAATCTAATGTTTATATTTATTAAAAATTAATAATTTATTAAAAAGTATGATCCAATACATTATAATCATTAGATTGATGGAAACTAACAGTTAAGATTTAGTAGTAAGAGGTAATAAAAAAGAGAGGCAATAACTATAATCTTCCTCTACTAAGAATATAATTTACGTGTTTACCAAAAAAAATTTAAAAAAAAATATTGGATAACACATTTTTTTTTTACTTCTATCAAGAGAAAATTTATATTTAATAATTATATATTTAATTTAATTTTGATAACACATCTTACAACATTTAATAAATAGTGTTAATGAGAAAAAAATATTTCTTATTTCTAAATATTATTTTTAATCATTTTTATTTCTTAGATAATGTTTTTTTTAAAGTTGCCATACTCACACATGCCAATATTTCTTAGTAGGAGATGTTATATTTATAATTTTTTTCTTTATAATTATTTTATTATCATTAAATTAAAATTAAATCAACCGTAAGAATTATTAATTTGATTTTGATTGAACGCAATAAAAATGATTGTAAAAGGAAAAAATTGTAAATATAATCACTTTCTTTTAAAATCTATTGATTTAAAAATATATTATCAAACACAATAAATTTCAGAATTATTTTAAAAAAATTAAAAGTAAAAAAATAAGAGCACCGGATACATGAAGTATCAAACACGGTAGACGGAAAAGCTGATGTCACTATACATCTCCCTCATTTGTTCTTCGTATTTTCTTGCCCAAATCTCTGCTCCATTCACACACCTCTCTCTCTCCTCCAATACCACCACTATCCCTCCCTCCATTCCCTTACCACACTCTTTATTACAAGAATGGGAGAGAAAATCTTTCATTGAAGAACAATGAATCAAGAAGATTGGAAATACATTATTGTTGATATATTCATATCAGCTTGTAACTGAAGCAAAATAAAGAAAGCTTACACGTGAATAAAATAAAATAACATAAAGCGAACTACAGTAACCAATTGAAACAGAAAGTGAGCTACATGGATTAGAATGAATTCCATGTGCATGACTAATACCCCCTTCTCAAGTGGGGACTTAGGAGGTGTATGTCAAGTAAACCCAACTTGGAGTTGTTTTCTCGAAAGGGTGCCGGATGTAAGGATTTCGTTAATACATCAGCAAGTTGATGATGGGTAGAAATTGGCAGCAGCTTTAAAAGAACAATGTTAATCTTTTCCCTTGTAATGTGACAATCGATTTCTATATGCTTGATTTTTTCATGGAAACTTTGATTTTGAGCAAGGTACATTGTCGATTGGTTGTCACAATATACTGGAACAGGTTGAGTTAATGGAAGACCAAGATCTTTGAACAAGTAAGAGAGCCATTGAATCTCGCAAGTAATATTCGATAATGCACGATATTCCGCTTTAGATGAAGAGCGGGAAATCGTGTTCTATTTCTTGGAGCGCCAACATATCAATAATGATCCAAGGAAAACACAAAAATCTATGATGAATTTCCTAGTGTCAGGGCAACAAACCCAATCACTATCAGCAAACCCTTACATGGAGAAGTCTTGATATATCGAAGGACATAACAACCGGTCATGTAATGAGTTTGTGTAGGAAATGCCATGAACTGGCTTAGTTGCTGGACTGAGTGTGTAATATCCGGTCTGGTAGTGATGAGGTATAAGAGACATTCCATTAACCTACGATAACTAGCTGGATCCTGATATGGTTCTCCTTGTTCGTGACTGAGTTTATGAGATGGGGTCAATGATGTAGATACTGGTTTAGCTGCACCCAGAATCAGCAAGAGTAGGTTACCTACATCTATCTAGCAAGGGTTTTGAACACTCAGAATCAGCAAGGGTTTTGCACATCCTTGAGAAAAATCTCAATTATCTCAATCTTTTTATGTTCTTTTTTTTTTGTACGTAGAGAGGTTACCTACATCTATCTAGCAAGAGTAGATTGCTGTATTGTTGGAAAGACAATTGGAGTGACCTTAAAGGCTTAGGTTAAGTGTGATCAAGGTGTGATCATAGACTTGTAAAATTTCGGTTGTAAAAAAGTTGCTTCAAACATCTATTGGAAGCTTAATGATAGTGAAAACGATCAACCTCAGTCTGGACGTAGCTCTCAAGTGGTTTAGAGAGTGAACTAGGATAAACCCCGATGTGATTCTTCCTTACCCTATCTCTTTTGATTTCTATCAATTGAATTTCATTTTGATTCTTGATATATGTCATATTGAATCTGTTTTAAAGATTATAATCATTACTTTTTTGTTTTAATTCGTTCTTGCATGAATTCTTGAAAAAGGTAGGCATAAACATTGAAATTACTCTATTTTCCCTTTCAAATTTGATCTGCTGCATATTGCCTCTAAATTGATGTTATAAGAATTGTTTCAATTCTGTTTTGTATTGGAAGAAAGGTTTATGATCAATAAATTTTGTTTTGGTTGAAGTTATATGTTAAAAAGTTGATTTTTGAATTGTTTCTTAAATTTCAAGTAACACACAATTCACCCCATCTTGTGTGATTGTTTAGCCATCTTTTTTTTTCAATTGGCCCCGGAGCTTAGGTTCTCTTGCTGTAGGTTTAATCACAGAGAGATAAAGATCCATACTATGACTAATTTTAACAATGATTTGCCTAAGAAGGTAGTTCAACCAATAGGCCACCTTTCTTTAATGAAACAAATTATCCTTATTGGAAGTCTAGGATGCAAATCTTCTTAGAATCCATAGATTTAAGAGTTTGGACAGCAATGGAAGATGGATATGAATTTATATCACAACAAATGAATAAGGTCAAATGGTTTCAAAAAAGGTTAGAGACTTTAGTGAAGTTGAACTTAGAAATGCTCAATGGAATGTTGAGGCTGAAAATCTAATTAAAAATGCTCTAGGGAGAGATGAATACTTTAGGATCTCACCTTGTAGAATTGCTAAGGAAATGTGGAAAGTGCTAGAGACTACACATGAAGGCACAAATGAGGTTAAGAGATCAAAACAAAATGCACTCACTAGAGAATTTGAAACTTATAAAATGTTTAATGATGAAAGTCTTTATGACTTGCAAAAATATTTTACTCACATCATTACAAGATTGAATGCCTTAGGTGTATATTACAATGATGAGCAATTGATCTACAAAATTCTAAGATGCATGACCAAGGGCTAGGATGCTAAAGTTTCGGCCATCTATGAATCCAAAGATCTTGATACAATGCAAATTGCTACACTTTTTGGAAAACTTCAAGAATATGAATTTGAAATGAAAAGGCATGCTCTAAGAGATCAAGCCAAGAAGAAGAACAAAAGTGTTGCTTTCAAGTCCACAACCTTCAAGGATGTTGAAAATGATGAATCTAATGAATCTAATGAGGAAGACATTGACATGGATGAAATGAGACTTTTCATCAAAAAGTATGGTAAATTCTTCAAAAAGAAGAATCTTCAAAGAACAAAGCACCTTGTTGCCCAAGGAAGATTAAAAGGATATTCTAACACCCCTAATGCTCAAGTTACATGCTTTGAATGTGGAAAGCAAGACCACTATAGAAGTGAATGTCCTACACTTCAAACAAATAGTAAAAGTGACAGAAAGACAAGCAAAAGTAAGAAAAAGAGCAAAAGAGCATACATGGCATGGGATGAAGATACTTCAAGCTCAAGTTCTTCATCAAGTGAAGATGAAGCTAACCTTTGCTTAATGGCACAAGAATAAGATGAAGAAAGTGAAGTAAACTCTATATGCTCTTCTTATGACCCTTCCTATGATGAATTGAAAAATGCTTTTAAAGAAATACATGATGAAGCAATGAAATGTGATAAGAACCTTAGATTAGTTAGAAAGCATAATGATAACTTACTTAAACAATTAGCATGCTTAAATGAACAACTTGAAGATTTAAAAAATAAAAACAAAACTTTAAAGTTGTTGGATGCTAGTGCTTCTTGTATTGTATGCTTAACTAGATCTAATGATGCATCATCATCATCATCTACATCTTACTACATGTGAAAAGTTTAAGGATGAAATAAAAAGATTAAATGATGATTTAGAAAAAATTTACACGTGCTAGAGAAAACTTGAATATTATACTTGGTAAACAAAGACCCACACATATTACGCATGGTTTAGGTTATGTTAAGCCTAACATGCATAATTTAAATGCTATAGTGTTTTTAGTTTTGTAACGTACTGAGAAATAATGTATTCACCTTGACACATGGGAAATAAATCTTCATGAAGGTCTGCAATACGAAAGACATCTGATTACGAGAATCGTTCATGGAGATCCCTCCATACTTCTGAAGCTTGATCCATACACACGATGGACTGCACGATTGAATCTGCAATAGAGTGATGAAGCAAAGAAATGACCATAGTATTGCTTGATCCCATGCACAAAAATAAAGGAATAACTTCTCATGGAGCAACAATGGAGCCATCGATGAACTCCAACTTATTTCTTGATTTCAACGTCATCTTCGTGGCTTTGGTCCAAGAATGATAATTCTTGCCATCAAATACTGGTTATACAAGAACCAACGAAGGGTTTTCACTTGGAAGCAAATGGTGTGGACTCGACAGATTTGTCAAATATTTTGGTAAGGAACATGAGTTTTGGTTTGCTGATTCCATGATAAGAATAATGGAAGATTCGAAGGAGAATGAATCAACTTCACTATAATTGATAACGAAAGAGAATGAAAGAAAAAGACCAGCAATGAATACCAGAGCTCAAGCTTAGCTCTGATACCATATTACAAGAATTGGAGAGAAAACTTTCATTAAAGAAAAATGAAT